TAACTTATGACAGAATGTAGGTAAAGTGTTAAAAGAAGGGGCTGACAGCTCCAAGGAGCTCTCTGATACACATATGTCTCTGCTCACAGAGAGTTGTTTCTCAGCACTGGGAAGCACTTCTACCTCAATGTCATGATAGAAGTGGCAGTGATTTCCCACAACACAAATGCTCCAGGCTCCCATCATCCTTGTGGCCCTTCACTGGATGTAATAAGTGATTCAGAATGTTTTTTTTTGATGCATGTACATTTTCACAAGCTGCTGAGAACCTGAAAACGTAGATCCCTACCTGGCATCTGCAGAAATCCATGGTAAAAATGAATCAAAGAATTATAGAATATCCTGATTTGGAAGGGACCTATAAGGATCATTGAGTCCAACCCCTGTATCCACACAGGCCCACAGTCATAGGATCACAAAATCATAGAATGGCTTGGGTTGAAAGGAACATTTAAGATCATCTGGTTCCAAGCCTCTGCTACAGGCAGGGACACCTCCAACTAGACCAGGTTGCTCAAAATCTCATCCAGCCTGGTCTTGAACATCTCCGGGGTGAGGACATCCATGACCTCACTGGGAGGCCACCTGTGAGGTTGGGTACAGAAACTCGGAGCCTGTGGGACCCCAACATACATCCTAGGGGGTCTGAATCCAGCCTTCCTCTTCAGAAAGCTGGTGCCTGGACATGCATAGGCAGCAAGACCAGGAAAAACATCTTGGCAACCTGATCCAGTGGTTGACAACCCTGGCCATGGGATGCTGCTGGAGCTCAGTGATCTTCCAACTCAAGCCATTCTATGATTCTTTGGTCTGGGCCAGGACTGTGGCCTTAATCCCTCTCCCTTCCCACTTAAATACTTGAAATTTTGCCATCTCTCTTTCCCTCTGCATAAATGAACTAACTCGAATAAACAAATAAGAAAATAAACTAATAAACAAAGTTCTCGATTGATAACTTTCTTTGGGAGACAAAAAGTTAAAAGCTGGGAGATTCTACACGTACAGACAGCTGGTATATTCTTGTGCTGTCAGTTTTCTCTTGCAATCAATATTATGAAATGTTATGATTATTATCAAATATCATTATGTTAATTCTGAATCTGTTACAAGTCCCATCTATTGCAGTCATTATACTTAGAATAAATGATCATCTCAGTTTTAAAAAATAAAAAATATGAAACAAAACTCCCTGCCTTGCTATTAGCTAGCAAGGAGGATTTAGGTAGGCAGACAGATCTGCTCCTAGTGGTGCTAGTTTGATAAATTGTGGCTTTCCTCCAAATAGAGGCAGAGTTCAGTATTTCACACCATGACAGGTTCTTTCTGTACTATGCGGATAAGGTTGCTTGGATCAGAACCAAGCTCACATCTATTCACGGAGGTGGGAGAGTTTTGAAAGGAGCATGTCTTTATTGTATTGTGGTGCTGCTTCCTAGAGGCTGTGCTGAGCCCCAAGCCCGGTTGTGGTAGGCAATGCATAAACACAGAGGAAGAGACAGGAGAGCTAAAGAATGGTAAGGAACTGAGTCACAGGGAGAAGCCAAAGGAAGCCCATAGCTGGGCTCCTGATGCCCAGTCCCTTGCTTTGTATCTAGTGAACCATAAACAGCTTCTCAGAAAACAAAGCAAATATACAACAGGAAGAAGAACATACCCAGCTATGCAAATGGCACCAGTTTTGGGGTTTAGGAATATCCGTGAACCACCCAAAGGGAATCTTAGGAAATCATCAAGTGCAAAGGCTGCTTTCCCAAAGCTTCATTTCATCACCTTCTTAGAGATCTGGAACTTTATGCCGTTGTCTCTGCGGCCCTTCAACTCACCTGGATTTCATTTCACACTTGAAGCTCAGCTGGATTTTGTTGTTTTATCAAGAGGGTGGAGGAACCCAAGGGCCTGTGGTGTGTCCTGCAGCTGATTTATGTCTTTACAGTGCAGAAGCCAGGTGCAGACTTGCCAGGGGGTAAGGGGCTGCCAGTCCCCTATTACAAGGCTTGTTGCAGCAGGATCCTTCCCTCTGTGTGAGGCAGGAATGTCTGCACAGCCTCCCTGCAGATCTGTTCTGCATCCACCTCTCATGAGCTGGATGAATCCTGCAATTTCCTTGTTATTTGCATGCCAATGCAGGAAGAACGCAGAGGGCAGAGTTAAGATTTGCTGTGAGTTAGGGATTTGTGAGAATGCCAGATTCAGAGATGCTCCAAAGGGCAGATCAAGGGTGCAGACACAAAGGTTAAACAAACAAAAATAAAAGCCTTTGCACCAAACCCTGCAAACAAAAACCACCCAGCTGACTTCAGCTCTGAGATGCGAGCACAAGGATTATAAAAATACATACTTTGCTATTTCAGACAGAAATCTAAATAAAGCTTTTCCTGCTCTTCTTGTCTCAGATGCTAACAAAATTAATGGCTGCTTTTTTTTTTTTTTTTTTTTTTTTTTTTTTTGGCCAACGATTCATTAGCCTCTTTAAGGAGCCTGCTCCTTAAACCTTCATTAAAAACAAGTCAAAATCCTCCCCAAGATCTCAACTACAGTCAGGTTTTGCTTCTCTCCAGGCTGGTGTGAGATTATAATGCTTCTCAAGGTGTTCCCTTCCTCATAATGAAGCTCCATCTGTTCTACAGATGGTAAAGATCACAAGAACCAGCATTAAATATCCCTCCCCCACCAGAATTTTTACCTTATGGTAATGCTGCTCTTTGTTTTCTCTGGCTTTCCCAGGAGCAGAGGAGCGTGCTACAGAGCACAGGGACTCATCTATTGCCCCAGCCAGCCCAGGCAGTGGTGGCTGCCTCTACATGAAGAGCATTTCACAGATTTTGGCTAGGACTGAGCCAGAGGAAGAGCTTTCTGACTGATTTTTTCAGGAAAACTCTGTGCCCTTGAAATCACCAGCTGTATTTTTCATCCCATCATCTCTCAGCTACTAGCCCCAGCTTTGCCCCTGATAGACAAATCTCTACACTTCTCTTCTACGTCTTGCTCTTACATTTTTGCTTCCAGGGCAAATAGAAATCTGTTGCAGCAAGGACTTATGCTTTGAGGCACAACAAAAATTCAAGAGGTCAGGTCCCAGAGGATGGGAAATAAATTTATAGGTATTTGCTACTCATTTCTGGGTCTTTTTCTTCAGATATCTGCATGAGATTTTGAGTCTATGAAGTACTCAGTGGGGGTGAGCTCCTGGGTACACTGCCAGCCTCTGAATGTTGGCCTCCTCTGGTATAACCATGCTGAGCATCAGAAACCAAAACACAAAATGGAGCCACCTTTGATGATCTTCCTCTCCATACATAATCAAAATAATTAGATTCACTTAACTAAACAAGTTTTAGTTCTACAACAGGATAAGCACACTGGATCTTTAGACAATCCTCTAAGGCCGCTGGCAATGGACTAACTCCATTTATGTGGTTTAACATTTGCCTAACAGAAAGCACTGCTACTTTTCTCTTCTTGACAGGTAGATAATCCTAAGAGGTCTGACAACCGTATTAACATCCAAACCACAAACGACGGGTAATATGAAAAGCTGGATTTTCTGACATACAACCTTTACATCTGCTTTCTACATCAGAGCCAGAATTTGTTCTACTGTTGTGTTTGTATTAAATATGTGGATTAATGGAGCTCAGCGAGAGTGCTGAATAAGCTCTTCCCATCTCCAGTGGCTTTGGATTGCATCTTTCCACGGAGAGACAAATGTGCAGCTTGTTATATTCTGTGTTTTGCACTTGGAAAAACTGTGGCTTGGTGCTAAATCAACAGCTGCTTGTTCAGAAGAAGGGATTCCAAACTTCTATTAGGACTAAGCAAATTTGGGCTGGGGGTGCTAACAGGGCTGAAATCCTACAAGGAATCATTTTGGTGATGTCAGTTCAGACCATAGCCCACCAACAGAGCCATTGCTCAAAGAGAACTGACCCCTCTCATGCATGCCAAAAGCCCAGAGTCCTGATCCAGGAAGATTTGATGGCACGTGCAAACCCAAACAATAAGATATGTTGCTCCAGTATCCTGGCTCAGTCACTGCTCAGGTAATTACATCCCACTTATCTAAATTTCTTCCTCAGTTTTCCCTGGCATTTAGTAATTTTCTTCACTTCCTTTCCAAAACAGCAGTTTAACAGTCCAGCTGGCTGCTGAATAGTCACCATCCTTTGAATGATGGCTAAATGTCTCTTCTGTGCATAATTATGTGCACTTTGCAAGGCACCTTGGGACCTTATGAACTGGGGGAAGGAGAGAAGCGATATACAAAGTGATGGGTTTTGTTTTCATTTTTATTGGTCTCACAACTGGGAGCACTATTGGCACAAGATCTTAGAAGCTGAGAACAGGTAAAAGCAGCTTTTCCCTAAATTAATAACTCTACGGAAATAAAGCCCAAATCACAATAAGTTTTTCCATACAATTCCCTCTGGCAAATACTTTGTTGAAGTAATAATTTCAGCGAGAGTGGGACCCAGATGAGCGCCAAGTCTCAGAAAATACACGTGTGCCCACAACAGAGGTGCACAGAGACAAGTTTCATGGAAGCCACTGCATAGGGCTGGGTCCAACATCAACCAGATTGAGCCCAGAGGTTCTCCATGCTCTGAGTGGGCTGAATAGGGCATCACAGATGAGTGTTTGACATTGCGTCTGGCTGCAGTTTTTGGTGCCTAAATTAGGGCCGTGGGAGGGTTTGCAGTGATGTCACCCCTTGGGCTGTTTTCACAGAGCTGGACATACAGGGACCGAGCTGATGGGAAAAGGCAGGTGGGAGAAAACACGGCTTCCATGTTTTGCTCTGCAAAGTTAAGCCTGCAGATCCCTGTTCTTCAGGTTACAGCAAAACTGAGGTGATGGGCCCTCATTTTCCTTCTTCTAAACACAGACAAGTGCACAGGAATCATGGGATCAGGAGAGAAAGCAACAGGGGGTTTGGTTTTGTTGTTCAACATTTGGGAAGAGGAGATCTGCATCGTCATGACTCATTCCCTAAAAATACCTGTCTCTCTCCATTGACTGCACAGGGAGCCCAGGGTGACCAGCTTGATGTAGAAGTGAGCCGTGGAGATATCTGAAATTAGACAAAGTGAATCCCATCTCTCAAGCCAGTCTGGGTAGGAGGTAGTGTGGGACGGTGCAATGCAAGAGTCTACATGTGAGCTGGAAGTCTGCACTCCCACTGCCGGCGCTGGGGATCTAGTCAACGTGGTCGGCAGAGCCCAGGAAGCAATGTGTCTCACTGTAAAGCAGACTCCTACGTTTGGTCAGTGAATCACTCTCTATACGCCTACATTTCAGTGAGATGGATCCTATCCCTGAAGTTAAGAGAGATGAATCTCACCCTGAAGTCTTTCTCCTCCTTTTTGTATCTGCTGCTAAAGTTTCCAACGTGCTATTACACGAAATCAATTGCTCAAGCTAGCCATCACTCCACCTTCCCTCCATCCCCAACAGAACCATAACAAGCTAACACATTTTCATGTTCATTTTCCAAACTTCATTTCCAAACTCGAAGTAAAATCTTCCAACATTCCTCAGCTTCCATCAAGCCCTTCAGTGTCTACATACCTCACCAGCACATTAGAGCTTTCTTCTTCCTCCAGCGTCCAAATAAAGCTCTTGCAGCTCTCCATTATTGCAAACAGATCTGGGTATCTCTTAAGCTGCAATGAAAATATCACATATTTTTCCACCATTTTTCTCCTTTTTTTCCCACTTACTGTGCAACAATACAAATGTAGTTTCTGTCAATACTAGTGCCAATGCATTCTCAAATAACTGCATGTCAGGTGCACAAATTACAGGACTAACAGAGGCTGTGATTACATTTCGTGTATGGGTTCTCAAGGCATATGATAATGAATATTAATAGAAACTATTTCTCCAGTAAATGATTGTTTTCTCAATAGTTGATATAAATAAAACCACTTGGATAGGAAACAGATTTTTTGATGTCTCTATCACAAATGCAATGATGTATTTCCACAAGAAAAGGCACACCTGCCAGTATACACTAGTAGAAATGTAAATATTTGCAATTTTTGTAGTAATTAAACCCAATCCTCCAAGGCCCATCTCACAGCATCAGAAGACAGAACGCAGGTTCATAAGCTAACAAAGAATGAATGAAGTATCACAAAACCAGATGGAATCAAAATTAAAACTCAGAAATCAATCGGAGGAGGCAGGGTCTGTCTCTCCAAACTTCAGATACCTGTAAGTGGATGGCTGCAGGTGAGTTAGTCACTCTGCCAGTCATTCCCACATGTCTCAATGGAGACAAACAGGCACCTAAGGCACAATTCTCTCATCCACTTTAAGTATCTAAATTTGGATGAAATGAATCACTGTCTCTCTGGACTAGATCTCCACTGTCTGCAGAGGGAGCTAAGGGAGACTAGCTGAGATTCAGGCGCTTAGTTAGATGAACACAGGCATAATAACCTACCTTAAAAACATAGTTTGTAAAAAAAATGCACAGAAAACAACTGTTACCCATTTAAAAGAAGGGAAGAATTACAGATCCCAAACTTTGTTTATCGGAGAGGCTGTGTAACAGTGAACACCATCTTTTATTCCACTGTGATAGAGGGCAGTGGACCTGTGCTCTCTTCTGCATTGCTTCATTTGCCAGCTAAATCTCACCTAAGGATGGAGTTACGGGTAGTGGGCAACAACAGCAACTCCACAAGGAGAGCAGGAGAAAAAGTCTTGAAGGGAAGACAAGGCAAGGAAGGGCAAAGGAGGAAAAAGGGACTGAAAAAGGAAAGGAAATGGGAAGGGAAAGGGAATTTGCCTATAAATATTAGTGCTTTTCTCCTGAAATGGAAGTCTTCTTTGGGAAGCAGATGTTATCCCTGAAGAGTTGTGTTTACTGAAATACACACACAAAAAAAAAAAAAAAGAAAAAAAAAAAAAGAAAGAGGAAAACAAGAAGAGTTTTGGCAGATTATTCTGACTTCCTACAGTCTATTTGCAGTCAAATCTGTGGGAAGTGGACGGGAGACTTGAGGGAATATCTGCAGAAATTCATTCCAAGGTGATCAAAGGCAGCTTTACCCATGAATTTACTGTCCTACTGACTTATTTTTTCAGAAATCCTAGACACCTGGAGAGGTGTTAAAAAGATGAAAGGGGAAAAAAAAAAAGATCAACAACATTCTGCTTTTCAAAATTTCAACCTATTCCATCCTCCAAACCTCACTTTAGCACCTCTTGAAAAACTGGAACACATATTGAAAGAAAAGAAAAAGCTGTAACAGATCCATGAGCTTTTATACTATTTATACTTGTTTGCTATGGATTTTTTACATACAGCTAATGGCTCTGCTAAGCCATGTGTTCTCCTCATCCTCTCTGTGCAACTTCATCCTCTTTCTTTCTTTCTCTGCAGCATCTTCTCTACACCATCTTCAATTAGGCCTTAATCTCTTCAAAGCAGGATTCTCCTATTTGGATTTAGGTGAGCAGGAGAGACTTCAGTCATAGCTGAAGCCCTGAGGTGCTATCCTGATACAGATGAATAAGGATCAGAGGGGAGAGTGAGGCTGATGTTTTCCAAAAGGATTCAAGGAGCTCAGGTAACCTTCCCTTAAACCACTTGAGCTTTATGAGCAAAGAAGCAGAGCACCACAGTCCTAGTTTTGGCAAGATACTTAAGCATGTGCTTAGATAAGATCTTGAAGTTAATGGGATTAATCAGAGGTGGTGTACATTGGGCCATATAAAACATGCATTTCTAGATATCACTGTAAAATGTCCCAAATATGAGCCTTTCTGAGGGAAAACTTTTCCATCACGTATCTTTTTGTTGCATCAGGCGAAAAACCCACTCCTGAGCTTTTAAATCTAAAGTGCCTTTCACAGTCATCATCAACTTTTCATAGAGTAGTAAATGAGACAAAAGATATAGCAAAGATCCCAATACAGCAAAGCCATCATTATAGGAAATATTTGTCCCAGCCCTACTCGTGCCAACAAGCACTGTCCTGTGCTTTCTGTTCCTTGTCCACAAGATTGATCATTCATAGCTCACACTGACATGACCCAGTCCCTCAAAAATAAAGCAGTTTATGGTTATTTTCTCCTAAAGACAGTGACAGTAGCACAGTTAAAGTCCTTAGCAGGAGCCAAGTTCCCTCCCTGGAGTTCAGGGATAGGTATCCCTGCACATTGGGCGAATGGCTTGAAAATATCTACATTTCAAAAATTCAAGCCTCATGGGTCAAAAAACGTCTTTATCATGCAGCCTGTTGGTGAATGTGTTCAGGCATAGGCAAGGCTCTTGGGGTTCTGGGCTGTTTTCAGTCATGCTTATGTCACTGATATTAGAAGACATTCCTTAAAAACACAGAAATGACTGTGAGCAGGAGCCCATGCTTCAGTGCTAGTGTCTTTTTTCCAACTGAGCTGTGAAAAAAAAACAGGAAAAAAAGCACAAGAGCAATAGAAAAGTGAGCAAGCCAAGAGGAAAATTCAGCCCCATTTCTACAGCATTTAAGTGAAAGATTCAATGAATGCATTGCTTTAGGTTGGAAAGAGAGGATTTCAGCGCTACCACTAGCCTCTGTCAATGGTCTGAGACACACAGCTGAACTTCACACACAGCTCAGTCCTACTGCTGTTTAACTGCCAATACAAAAGATACTATCTCTACTGAAGCATGAACCCAAAGTTTAGATTTTCAGGAAATCGGCAGGCAAAGCAGTGGGAGGAGGCAAAAAAAACAACAGCACCCAAAACATCTTGTTTGCTAAATCTGTTGGTGGAAGCGGTAATGCAAGGGCTGAACCCACCAAAAGCCTTGCTGGAAGTTGTGCAGTCACTTCTCACCAGGCTGAGCTCAAGACTGTATGGTCTGTCCTGTGAAAAGTAGATGAGAAATCCAAAAATAAAATAGCTGACTGTAAGTTGCGATCAGCACACCATACATATGTAAATTGTTGCTGACCCTGAGAAAAGCTGCCTCTGCATTATGATAAGGTCTGAAACCTGATTGAAATGTTTCATAAAGGGCATTATTTTGGAGGTGATCCTTAAACGAGCAGAGCAGGAAAATCATCACTGTCTTCCCTCAGTAGTCATAAAAATAGGTTACCAATGAGAGGGACTTTAGCCAAATTATTTTCTTTGAAATTCAACTGGTGCTGGATTTTCTGTATCTCAGAGTCCTCTTTAATGACAGCATAGTTCTGGGACACAATTACATAATTATTAATGTATTGATAACGTGTAAGCATTTCCTGGCCTTACTGCCGCTGCAGCTCTAATCTAGATCATAAAGCTCTCTCATAATTGCAATATTAATCATACCAGAGTCTGCTGGATGCAGTATTGCATCACTGTTCCTTCCTGGGTCCTTTTAACATCAGCGAGGTGATGACACTGACCATCTCCACAAACACATGCATTCAGGCCATTAGTATTTTCACCTATTCATAAGGATAGCTGAAACAATGGACATCCTCAGAGTTCTTCCCACATTGCTCAGCTACAAAAGGGTCTTTTCTATTATTTTAAAGAAGTGTGAGGATTTTCCAGAATTTAGAAGCCCCAACAGTTTCTGCTTTGCTGTGAACATGCCAAGCTGACAGCTGGAAGGGCTTCCTGTCTGCTTCACATGTGAACTAACTGCACTCATGGAAGTTGGAGGAGAAAGGGGAAAGCTCAGTATTCAGAGATGCTCTCTTTATGCTGGTACCTCTGCACTTCAGCTGCTCAGACACATTCAGATCAGACTGATCTTCATTGAGTGTCTTTCTCTTCACTCCTAGCACTTCAGATCTTTGGCTCAGCCATGTCTTTGCTGCTTTGTCAACAACCTTGTCCATCTGACAGACTGTAGATGTCTCAGCTGCCTTGTTCACGACAATCTTCTGAGCTTCCCTTGCTGTAGTTGTGTTGTACTTCATGCTGGGCCATGTATCCCTCAACAGTGGTGGACTTCAGCTATCTTCTTTCAAAAGTCCGATATATGCTGTGGAATGGACCACTTGGCACAGGAAAGTGTGGCCAGATATCAAAGGTCATTCCACAGTTTATAAGCAGTGACTCTTCTTGTTGCATAGCCATCCACCATCACCTGGAAAGCCCTGAGGAACCCACTGTTTCCATCTGCTGAGTCATCAACGCTTCTGACTATCTTCCATTATATGATTTTATTGGTGGAGCAGGTTACCCAGAGAAGCTGTGAATGCCCCCTCTCTGGAGGCATTTAAGGCCAGGTTAGATGGAGCCTTGGGCAGCCTGATCTGGTGTGTGGCAACCAGCCTAAAGTAGGGGGCTTGGAACTGGGTGGTCCCTTCCAACCCAAGCCATTCTATGATTCTATGGTTCTATGATTCTCTGATTCTATGGTTCTATGATTCTATGATTCTGATTCTATTTTCTGAAAACGCTCTTTTGAAGGAGCTTTCTCCTCCACCCCAGGCACTGTTAAAATGTTGCTATGTGCCGACCTCTGAGTGCTTGTATGCTGCTCTAAATAAGTAATCTTTCTTAAATTAGCCTTGTAGCTTCCCCTCCAACACCTCTCCAGGTACATCTTCTTCCTTCCCATTTCCCACCTACAAAGCAAGAACGTTCCTGATTTAGTCTTCTCTGTGTTTCTGCCTGTGGGAGTGTTTGTAGAGCTCACAAATGGAAAAGACAACTCCAAGATATG